TGAATAAACATCACAAGGGAAACTATGACTTGTATCTGAACAAATTAATCTTTCTGGACTCATATAACTAGCAGTACCTTGAAATGTATTTGCATGTGTTTTGTTTTTCAATATTGATGCCATCCCCCAATCGGCTAATTTAACAAAGCCATCTGAATTGAGTAGAATATTTTCAGGTTTAATATCTCTATGAAGTATATTCTTGTTATGAGCAAATTGTAAACCCATTAATAATTGACAAGCAGCTAAACTTAAAATATTTTCTGGTATTTTATCATTAATACTACCTTTTAAACAATCTTTAAATGTTCCTCTATCCATAAATTCCAATAAAATATAAAGAGTTTTATCTTCAATGAAATGATAACTATCAATTATACTACAAATATATGGACAAATTTTACATTCTACAAGACAATTAAATTCTGCTTCAATCATTTTAGTTGAATTTTTATCATCATTCTTATCTAATTTAATTTGTTTTAAAGCATATAATTGTCCTGTTCTATTATTTGAACATTTTATAACTGAAGATGAAAATCCACTTCCTAATTCTTCCATTATTAATAAATCATTCCAATTAATATTCTTATTAAATTTTGTAACTCGTTTCTTTGATTTTGATGTATTTGATGATGATATAATTGAAATGAAATGATTAATAGATTTTCCACTTAAACTTCTATTTGAATTAGATATAAAATTTAAATGATTAACAGATTTTGTATTATTATTATTATTATATAATTTTGAAGAATTATTATTAGAAATAGTACCAATGGGTGATGGTGATGTATTATCTAATATTTGAACAACTCCATTTTCATTACATTTAAATTTATCAGATATTAAATAACTTCCACTTTCAGTATAATTTGATTGAAGTTTAAATTTAATACTTGCTTGCTGTTCTTGTTGAATGATGGATGGTTTTGGTTCATTATGTTTTTCTAATACTAAATTTCCAACCATGTGTTTTTTTCTATTCTTTTTCTGTTTTGTTTGTTTTTTACTAGTATTACTAGTTGTTGTTGTTGTTGAATTATTATTATTATCATTATCATTATTATTAGTAATAGTAGTGGTAGTAGTTAAAGTGTTATTATTATTATTAGTAGTAGTTTCAGAAGAAAATGATTGATTGGATGATTTTGAATGTTTTGGAGTGGTACTTGATTGTTTGGGTATTGAAAATAAATCATCATCTTCATTTCCATCATCATCAGCACTGATATCAAACATGTTATCTGATTGAAGTGTTGTAAAAGTGTTGTGATCTTCTTGTTTAGTTTGTGGAATATTAAATATATCATCATCATTAACATCACATTGTAATGATGTTAATGATGATTTCTTTTTCTTAGATGGAGTACTAGTTGTTATTGAAAATATATCATCATTTAAAAGATGATTTCCAGATGGAATATCAAATATATTATCAGATTCAATTCCTTTACAAGATTTTGAAGATGGAATATCAAATATATTATCAGATTGTAAATTATTACTACTTGATGGAAAATCAAATAAATCATCTGATGATTGTAAATTATTTAAAGTAGATGAAACATCAAATATATTATCAGATTGTAAATCACCTTCTCTACTACTTGATGGTATATCAAATATATCTTCAGATTGTAATCCTTCAGATGAACTTGTCGTCGTCGTCGTTGTAGGTGTTATATATTCCGTTACATTTTCATCACCTCCATTACCACCATCACCACCAATACCACCACCACCACTATTATTCCAATTTATATTCCTATTCGAATTCGAATTCAAATTATTAGAATTATTAATATTGAAAATATCTTGCATTGCATCTTTTGTATTTCTTACAGTAAAATCATTATCATCATATTCTTTAATTGGAGTATTGAAATGAATATTCTGTGGAGGTTTAGGTTGAGACATTCTTTGAAATTCAATAATTTGTGAAGGTTTTAATCCATCTTCATTTGAACTATTTGAATAATTTGAATAAGATCTCTTTCTTTGGAAGGTAACTTCTTGTTTTGGTATTGAAAAGAAATCATCATCTTGAACCACAAATCTTTTACTAGGCGTTGTTGGTTCATCAAATATATTTGAATTAATAGAATTATTATTATTAGAAATATTACTATTCTTATTATTACTATTACTATTACTATTATTAGAAATATTACTATTTTTAAAATTATTCTTAAATCTATTCGAAGGCTTGAAATAAGAATCCTCTTCAACACTCGACCTAGAAGTATCAAATATAATTTCATTAGTTGCTGCAATTTCATTATCACTCGATGCTATTATTAATTGATTATGATTTCCTTTTCTTTTAGATCGTTGTTCTTTATAAAATCTTTTAGCCTTCTTTTCATACTTTTTCTTATGAAAATTATGTTTCTTCTTATTTCGTATTATATTTACATTATTCTTTGGAGATGATGAAAGTAGTGTACAATTTTGTTGTTGTTGTTGATGTTGATTATTATAATTAGGATTTAAATATTGTTGTTGTTGTTGTTGTTGATGATATTGATGATGATGAGTATCATAAATCTTCTTTTGTATTTGATTTTGAATCATCATATGAAGGAGTGGAGATGAAGACATTGGAGAAGTTGAAATATTATTATTATTATTACTATTAATTCTCTTATTGGTATTGGTATTATTAATAATTGAAATGTTTCCAGTTGTTGTTATTGGTGGTGGTGAAGATGATAATGGAAGAGGAGTATAAATAATACCGGGACTATTAAATAATCTATTATTTGTATTACTAATAGTGCTAGTACTAGTACTATTACTACTATTAGTTAAAGTATTACTATAATCTTCAATTATATCTTCATAATTATCATCATTGAGTGAAGTAAATGATGAAACTCCAACAGGATTAATATTAGGAACACTGAACAAGTCACCACCATCTTCCTCATCAATTACTGTAATTAGAACTGGATTCGGAGGTGTTATTTGTTGTTGTTGTTGTTTGTTCTTTCTATATTGTCTTGAACGTTGTTTTTTATACCATCTCCTCTTTGTATGAATCATGGCATGTTGATGATGTTGATGATGTTGGTGACCATTGTGATGATGATGATGATTTAATCTATTACTTGAAGATGATTGATTAATTGGAGGTGATGTTTCATTGTTCGTTGAATAATCATGATCGAAAAAATCGTTGGGTGGAAGAAGCATACGTTTTTTTTAAATATATAATATTATTATTTGAATTTAAAGTGTAAGTAATAATAACATTCAGATTGTAACAATAAGAAATATTGATGTTTGTTTGTTATTTCCAACTCAATTCAATAGTGAATTGTTCTATTTATTAGTTCCAGAATTGTAAATCTGAATACACAAACAATACTGCTCCAGATTGGTTGTGGATGAAGATGGATTATGGAAAGTGTGTGGTGAAAAATTAACATCCAAACAATGTGATGCAAAGATTGATTGTTTAGGGATTCCATAAGCAAATATCATATTCTATTATTCCATGGACATTACAATCCTGTAAAACAAATCACACACAAGCTGCAACTTGAAAAAATGATTTCAGAATAAGGGTTCTGAATTTGAGAATTGCGTTTCTTACTTAAATTGTGTTCTACACAGTAAAAGTTTAGATAACTACTGCAATAATATATGTCAAGTTATTTTTTGAAAATGTTTATTCAAGTACTTATTGAATTATTTAATTTACAATAATTTTATAATTATTGAGGTTTCTTATTAATGTTTACATTCAAGTCAATACGAACAGGTCTTCTTCTACCACCACCACTACCAATATCTTCTCTATATTGAATTGGACGTTGTCTTGGTGCACTAGTATAATTACGAACAATTGGTTGTTGTTGTTGTTGTTGTTCTTCAACTGGTTGTGGAGTAGTAGTTGGTTGTTGTTGTGATGGTTGTTGAGTAGTAGGTTGTTGTTCTTGTTGAGCTGGTTCAGTACTAGTTGGTGTCATATCTTTACCAGTATCAGATTTAATTAATTTAACAAGTCTTGAACATAAATGTTTGTAATTTGAACAAATCCAATTAACAATAGCTTGATTACCTGATTTGTAAATAGAAATTGGAATCTTTTCTAAAACTCTTGTTCTAATTTGAAGAATTTCTTCAGGTAAATTTCTCAAATATTCAATTCCAACTTGTTCCATTACTGATTTTGGTAATCTCTTTTGTAAAACTTCAGTTGACCAAACATGTGTAAATGCACTTTTAGGTGGATTGAAATCAGTCTTCTTATTATATCTATTTGGTAAATGTTCAATGAAATGTTTCAAATCTTCAGGTGGAACTGTTAAGATTTCATTTGGAATTTTAGCTCTATCTTCCATCTTTAAATGGAAATATTCATCAGGTAAATGTCTTAATTTTTCAATTCCAACTTTTTCTAAAACTTCTTGTGGAACATGTTCTCTTAAAAATTCACTTGTCCATGCTTTGACTTTTTGAGTAGTGACAGGTCTCTTTAAACTTTGCTTACTTGGTTTTGGTGGTTTACCTCCTGAAAGTGGAATTCTTTCAGCTTTAGGTCCAAACATTGACTTGTATTGACTTGTCTTTTTAGCCCAATCTCCAACTCCCTTCTCTTGAGCAATCTTTTGTAATTCTTCAGGTGAATCAACTTTAGATTTCAAATTGGCAAGTTCAGGAATATTATTTTGATAACCTTCTGGATTTTTAGCTGCACTTTCTGCTTTTTGTTGTTGTTCTTCCATTGTTGGTTGTTGTTGTTCTTGTTGTTGTTGTTGAGATGATTGATCATTTGAATTAGTAGCATCTGATGATGGTTGTTCTTGTTGTTGAGATGATTGATCATTTGAAGGAGATCTTTGTGAAGTGAATTCTAATTTCTTTGAATCATTATCAGATGGTTTATAATTACCAGCACCAATACATTTTTCAAATAATGTCTTGACGTAACCTTTAGTTTGTTGTCTGAAGAATTTCCATTCCTTCTTCCATTTCATAAAGGCAGCAGTTAAACCAACATCAAATGTAACACCATCTAATTTATGTTGTAACATGGCACATAAATTACATTTTTCAAAGGCTAAACGTGGAACAATTCTATAAGTAATAGTTGCTTTCAAATAGACTCCTACTTTAGCAACTGGAATACCTACATTGGCACTACCTGTTACACTTAATGAAATGTATGGTTCTACACTTGCACTAGCTTCTAACTTTTCAACACAAACACCATATCTTAATTCAACTCCCATATTTAATGCAACATCTATTTTTAATTTAATTTAAATTAAAATTAAATATTAAAAAAATTAAAATTAAAATATTAATAAATTAATAAATTAAATTAAATTAAAAAACATACTAAAATTGAAATTAACAGGAATAGGACCAATACTAAATTGATAATGATAATCAACAAGTTTAGGGAATCTCTTTTCAATGAGTGGTTTAGTTTCACTGAAACATGCTTCAATAATCTTTCTAATACGTTCAGGTACAAAATTAGTATTAATAAATGTAGTTTGAAATACTTTAACATAAACATTATCATTAATTGGTTGATCAGGTCTTTTTGTTAACTCTGCACTTGCATCAATAACAACTAATTCCTTCTTAAATAATTTAGCATACATATTAGCTTTAGCAAGTAAAACAAAATCAAATCCTGTCTTTTCTGCACTACATTCAAATGATGCACCAGCATATACTAATATTATTGTAATAAATTAAATATATTATTAATAAATTTTAATAATATAATAAATATATTAAATATATTAATAAATTAAAATATTAATAAATAAATTAATTAATAAAAATAAAACAAACCTAAAAATCCCATATACATATGTACAGCATTAGTTCCCAATAATTTTTCAAATGAAAAATGTTTAGCCTTCTTAATATTACTTAAATCACCTTGTTTTCTAACAAATTCAATCATACCAGGATGATACAAACACAATTGATCATCAGATTTAACACTCACTTGCATACAGGCTTTTTGATTTTCAAATTTAGCAGCTGAAAAGTAATATTTAATCTTTTCAACAATCTTTTTAACTGCATTAATAGCTGCAAGTATTTTATCTTTAATCCAATTAACTGCTTTAACAACTCCCTTGGCTATATTTTAATTATTATTATTATTATTATTATTTTAATATTATATTGTAATATTGTAATGTTATGATATTGTAATGATATTGTAATGAAAAGTGTTAAAATTTAGAATAAACATACCAACTGCTTTAGCAATTCTACCAATGGAACGACCAACTTTACGTGCAATATTCTTAATTCTAGAACCGAGTCTTCTCAAATGACCACCCACACGTCTAGCAGCTCTCCTAATAGCAGAACCAACTCTACGGAAAGCTCTTCCCAATCTTCTAAAGAATCTTCTGAATAGAACATTTTGTTCAACATCATGAATTGAATCCAATAATTCCATATCATCTTCTGATAATAAATTAGATAGAGTATTACTAGCATGTTGTTTTTTCAATGATTGTTGATATAATTTCTTCATTGATTGTTTCTTATTTGGTCGAGAGAGTTTTAACATTTTAGCTAATTCATCACCTGCTTGATCTGTACCAACAGTGTATAGATAATTTCTGATGGAAGTTCTAATTTCTTCATTCTTTGATTTTCTATGAAGTGAAACAACATGTGGAATGGATTGTCCTCTTCTCAAATGTTTCTCTCTCTCAGATTGAGCATTAATTAATGATGATTTCAATGTTGGACTATATCCTGTTGATCCAAGAATGGAATGAACCATTTCATCTAATTCATTTTCATCTTTTAAACGTTTCTTTAAATTTTCAACAATGAGAGTTTTAATGGTATCTGGAATTCTATCATCCTTCAAGAATACTTCCAATATTTCAACTTGAACTGCTTTACCTGCATTATTTAATGCATGGAAATTAGTAGTCAATTCAGTTAATGTTGTTGATTCACCAATTCTAGTAATAATTTCCTTAACTATTTCTCTTTGAATTTTAACAGAACGAATTCTACTTGCTAAATCAGCATAGGCCATGAATGCATTCTTTTTAACATCTTGATTATTAATTTCATCTTTCAATTGTTGTTGTGAATTTTCTAATTTTAATCCCTTTGATTTCAATGATTTTAATAAACCAAATGAATGTTCAGTTGGATATGGAATTACAATTGAAGCATAAATGAAATTATGTGTCAAATATGGATGCATACTTGATAATTTAACCAATGAATTTTGAATACGTTGTGATTTGATAGTTGCTACTAAATTTTGAATACTTTCTAAATAATTCTTCAATGATAAACGTTCTTCTTTTGATTTCTTTGAATTATTTGAATTATCATTTGATTTCTTATTATTATCTTTTGATTTCTTATTATTATCATTATTATCATTAATCATCATCTTATTTAATTGTTTAATTCCCTTTTCTAATTCATTTAATAAAATATCACCTGATTTGATTGGATGTAATTTACTATATTTAGCAAGTGCAGCTAATAAAATATTTGAATTTCTAGATAGAGATGGATCTTGTTTACAACCATTCAATAATCTATTAAAATATTTTGATGAAAATTCTCTTCTCTTTAAACTCATCATTGATTTTTTATCAAATTTGTTAATAGAAAATGAATTTTCAAAAGTAAATTCATTACCTAATTTAGCAGAACGACCATTCTTTTCTAAATTAATAATAGTTTCTTGAATTTCCTTTTCAAGATTTAATTTAACATTTTTAACTTGTTTCAATTCAATTTTACCAATAAATAAAGTTTCTAATTCACTTGTTGCATCTTGTTCTGGAAGTTTATCTTTTTGTGAAGATTTTGTTAATTTTTCAAATTCTTTAAAAGCATAATGTTTTTCATTTCCAATTTTGGAAGGACCAAATGTGAAATGAATTTTCATTAAAGAATTTCTAATTAAATTCTTTCTAATAGAAACATTAACAATATGTGTTCCTTCATAATGTAAATGTCTCTTATTCACTGGAAGTGCTGTAATAAAATCATCTTGATTATATTTTTGATGAATATTCAATGTACGTCTATTTTTAGTTAATTTACCAATTTGATAATTTCTATTATAGGATTTATGATAACGACCTCCAAATCCATCAGTTTGTGAACGAGCTCTCTTTCTAGTTTCAGTTGTTAACATTCTAATAATACCTTTCTTAATAGAACGAATATAACGTTCTTCAGATTGTTTAAAAATTAAATTTTGAACGTGTCCACTTTGTGATTGTGTGAAAATGAATGGTTTCTTATTTAATTCACTTGTTAAATCTTTTCTAGCATCTAATTTACGATATTTCTTATTTGTACTAGTTCTACCTCTAAATTGATTAAATGTTACTTGATTAAATGTAACAAGAATAATATTCTTCTTCTTATTATCTTGTTGATCATTTAATTGAGTAGTTGTAGTAGTAGATGGATCAATAGATAAAGCCTTGTTTCTAATAGATTTTGAAGGACATGTTAAAATAATAGAACCAGATATAATAGTTTCAGAACGACCTGATTGTCCTCTGTGAGATCCCTTCTTTGAAATACCACTATTACCAATTAATGTTGTTGTTTTAAATTGATATAATAAACTCTTATTAGGTGGACATTTAATTGGAATGTAATTTTCATCCTTCTTTGAGATCGATTCGGTTACTTTCTTATTATTAGAGGTAGTAGTGATAGTTGCAGCGCTATTATTTCTACTTCTACTTCTACTACCATTAATTACTTTACTCTCAGCATTGAATATAACAATCATCAATATAAGAGCTAACATCAAGATGTAGTTCATCTTGTATTTACTCTTCCAAGTAATTGTTGACATTGTCAAGAGTGTCCGTTTGTTAATTTTTTAAAAAGATGAAGAAGAGTGTGTGATGAAATGATGTTGTTGTTGCATCAGTGAATGATGTTGTTGTATTGTGAAATGATAATGAAGAGATGATGAAATGCAGTCATGTCACTTGAGTGACATGTGACCCATGAATTTAAATTTAGCTTCAGTGAGGGCTAGAAATGTGAATTGGGTACTAGCAATAGTATTTAAAGTTCTCACCATTGTCTGAACTTTAAATACTATTGCTATCCGACCGTATGGGTAAAATGTTGCATTGAATAATATTTAAAAATGTTAAAGTCAGTTGAGAGAATTTTCGTATAATTAATTTGCTGATGATATCTAATTAGGAAGGTGAAGAAATCAATTTTCAACAATAGTATTTGCTTAAATTTAATAAGGATTAGATTGGTATTGCTTAGAATATTAATGTGAATAGGTTTGTAGAAAATTACTAAGTATTTGAATCGATTGTAAACGTTCCAAATAAGATGATAAATATTTCAATTTATCATAATTGTACTGTAAATGCATTGTCAGGAGTGTTCAAGAAATTTGGTTGGATGCTTGAAGGTCTATTGTAGTTCTTCCATGCATGACTTTGCCCTTGAGGGAATATTGAACAACAATGACCACAGCGCAAGTGGATGCAGCAAAATTCCGCATGTAAGAGACCACATTGAATGCTCATAATATATTACTAAAGAACATCTGTGGTTGTTGGCAAAAGTGTAGAGATATTAAGGAAGGCTTGTTGTGGCGTTGGCGCGTAAAATCCAAGGGTTGCAACTTTGCTTAGTGGCGCAGCGTTGTTGACGTCAACAACAACATCCAGCAGCACCAAACAACACCTGCGCAGGTGCCTTATTGCTTGGGAGTGCCGTTAACGGAGAACCTTATTACAATTAACAACACAAAAAAATACAGCAACCATGGTTGACGCAGGAGTTGTAGTTGATGATAATTGCATTGAGCAATTCAAAGCCTTCCACCAAAAGTCTTCAAACGTTAGATTGATTGTCTTCTCTATCAATGAAGTAGGTGATAAGGTTGAAGTCGCCAAACAAGTAGAAAAGGGAGGTGATTGTGATACCTGGGAAACTTTGTGTACCAACTTGCTCGGCACTGAATATGCTGAAAAGTCATGTTGGGTTGTTTACAATTTGGAAATGACGAAGGAAGACCAAGGTGTAGAAAGACAAATCTCCAAGCTCATCTTCCTCCACTGGGTTCCATCCAAGACTAAGCTCAAGTTTAAGATGTTGATGTCTTCAACCAAGCAAACTCTCTTCACTAAGCTCGGTTGTTCTATGGTTAACATTGAAGGTACTCACCTTTCTGACATTTCTGAAAAGAACATTTTGGACAAACTCAAGAGTTCTATCTAAATCATTTTCACCTTGTATAACATTACTAAATAAAAAATTTCATTATTTTTGTAACTTAAATAGTATGATGCATCATTATTATCTGCATCATGGTTTTCTTCGGTGCCCTATCAATATTAGATTATTGAATGATTGTGTGAGATTAAATTGAGAGAGATTAAAGCCTTAATAAAAAATATTCGCTCATTATCACCATTGAATGTAATAGTAGAGTGGTTAATCATCATCCATCGGAACATTCCTTGAACATTTAATCATCAGAACCTGAATATAAAAATGCAAAATATTAAAACAGTAATTGATGAAAATGAACAATTAAAACATGATAATTTTGATTTACAATTAAAATTATTTCATGCAACCAATAATCAATTAATTAATAATTCATCATCATCTAATAATAATTTAATAATTAATAATAAAGAATTAAATAATATAATATGTAATAATCATGAAACAATAATAGATAAAGAATTACCTTTAAATAAAAATATAAATGAAATTATAAATAATAGATTAGAATATTCAAATCAAGAATTAATTAAAATAGTACAAAATCAACAATTAGAATTAAAACAATTAAATTTAAAATATTCAAAATCAAAACAAATAATTAAAGAATTAAATCAACAATTAAATCAATATAAATTACAAAATGTTCAATTAAATAGAGAATTAATTAAATTAAAAGTTATGAATCAATCAAAAGAATAAAATTGTAATATTTATTGTAATAATTCAATAAAATGTTTTCCATGAGAAGAATGAACTATTCTATTTTTAAAATGTCATTCCTCTCTAAGTATGACGGTTGAGTCTAGAATTGAAACAACATAATATATTCATAAAAATTAGATCAATTTTGTATTACCACACAAAAGCCATTTGTTGAGTTCTTTGAATCGGACCAATTTTTGTATTCTACTTCTAATAATAATAATACTACTTGTATTTCATCAACAATAACAAATTTTTGTATATAATTGTATCATAATATCATCAACTATTACTAGAGTTAATAATTTCATCATCAGTATCATCCATTAACACATTCACTGAATAATTATTCACTAACATATCAATAACATATATTCAATAACATATTCATAATAATAATAATAACAAAATGAAATTTAAAGTATCACTTCCAATTAATAATTCAACAATTGTAATGGATTTTCCAACATTAACATCAAGTAAAACATTGGATGAATTTGTAAATTTAATATTATTACATGATCAATTACCTCTTTCATTAAAAACATGTGCATTATCATTAAAAATTGGATTTCCACCAACAAAATTAGATTTAGACTCACAATCACAAAAAACTTTACAAGAATTAAAAATTTCAAATGGTGAAAAATTAATTATTGAAGAAGATACTGGTAATAATACAAATAGAATTATTAAAGGTAAAACTATTGGTCCATATGTACCTCCTTCAAATAATCAAGGTTTGTTTTTTATATTTTTATTAATTTTATTAATAATAATTTTAATAATAATTTTATATATAATAATTTAAATAATAATTTTAATTAATTTTAATAATAATAATTTAAATATTATTAATAGGATATTTTGTTAGAAGAAAACAACCATCTGATAATTCATGTTTATTTCATAGTTTATCCTATGTATTAGAACAAAAAGATAATACTAAAGTTCATCAATTAAGAGAATTATGTGCTAATTATGTAGCAGAGAATCCTAAAAGATTTACAAAAGAAGTATTAGAAATGAGACCAATTGAATATGCTAATTGGATACTTCATGATCAAACATGGGGAGGTGCCATTGAAATTTCCATTCTATCTGAACATTATAAAGTTAGAATTGTTGCATTTGATACAACTACATGTAGAGAGGATGTTTATGGAAGTGATCATGATGAATATAATGCAATGGCTTTAATTATTTATACTGGTAATCATTATGATGCTCTATCTTTAAATCAATTTGGTGATAGTGGTTCATCTGATAAGGATATCACTCTATTTCATATTAAGGATACTGTTATTATGAGTAAGGCAAGAGCCTACGTTGAAGAAGAACATAAAAGATATTTATCAAATAATAGAAAATAATAAATATATTATTATTATAATTATGAGTATATTATTTTAATACATGTAATTATTGTATTGAATAATATTGAGAATCTAATTTACAGTAATTAAAAGTATTAGTGGTGTGTGATTAAATTTTAAGGTTGGTGGTACCACCAAATTTCAAAACCAAAATAGTTTAATTTACCACAAATATTATTACTCCGATAAGGACCAATTATCCAATTAACACTTGCAACTATTCAAAATCACACCATTCAGGTTCCATTGTGATTCAAGTGTTGCACACAATCATTGCTTACTCCTAGAAAACAAAAAGTAAAAACGCGAAATCACAATCGTCTCTTTGTGTGTTACATTGTTCTAATTTATTTTAAAATAACAGTTGATTCTTCTTGGATTGAAATATTATTAAAAAGAAACACAACTTTGTAACCATCAATTTAACCATCATCACCCGATCTATATTATATTTCTATCTGAAATCTCTCTTGTTGTCAACCACTTTTACTGTTTTTAATATAATATAAAATTATTTGTAATAATATGATAAATAATCATCAACAACAAAATTCCATACCACTATTAGAATCTGATCATCAAAGAAGATCATCAGTTGATAATGGTGAAGTACACATTTCGGAATCAACCTATTATACACAAATGATACAATTAGATGATCAAAATCAACATCAACAAGATGAATTAAAATCATCAGATTTAATGAGTTTATCAAGTACATTACCTGATATTAATCAAAATCAAAATCAAAAATTAACAAGAAAACAATTAATATTTAAATATTTAAATTTAATTAAAAGATTTACATTTGGTAATAGAAGATTAAAATCCTATATAATGACATGTGCTAAATTCTTTAGTATTACATTTACACAAGCTAATAATTTATTTGAATTAGATAAAACAAATACAGATGTAGCACTTATAAAAAGTATTGAAATAATATCATATACATTTATGGCATTATTATTATTATCATTTACAGAAAGATATATTAGGGAATGTTATTGTGCAGCTAAACAAATTAATTTAAATGTTATTATTAATTATATTGAAGCTGGTATTTTCTTTTTATATTTTGCATTTTCAAGTGTTACAGCTATTATTCATTTAGTTTTTATTGGTAGGGCTGCAAATGATCCAATTAAACCATATGATTCTACTAAAATTGGTTTGGGTATTTTTGCTATTTTAATTAATTATTATATTATTATGGAAAAGGCTTGGATTTATTTTAAGGCTTCAAAGGCTTCTGTTAGTTTATATTTAGCTAAAGGTACTCCCATTCCAAATCCAAATTCAAAACATTTTAAAAAAAAATAAATTAATTACTCTGATTTTCAAATATTATAATAGATTAAAAATAATACGTGAGACTTAAATTTAAAAAGCATAAAAATTATTGAATAATCAAGACATTCCACCCGAATACATTTTTTGCAGCTATTTTTCCGCAGCCAAGTAGGAGCCAATAGTGTGGACAAGGCATTCAACTTTTAAAAGTTGGTGGCTAGTTAGCACCCAACTTTCGCTTCTTAGGTGTGAAAGTTATGTGTAAACTAGTTGGGGGCTAACTTTTTCCTCAACTTTTATAAAGTGGACAGTAAAAGTTGGGTGCTGTCTTTAAATTAGTTAAGGGTTATCTTTTAAGGCTCACTTTTCACTTCTTTTTTCACACAGTACTCACACAAGACCAACTTTGAAATTCAAATAAATAAACTTTATTGTAATAATTATACTTTAACTGGTAAATATATTAACCAAGCTGAATGATGTCACACATTGTAAATATAACAGAGTTACGATAATTAAATTATAATTAATCTAATTAATTATAAACCATCAATAGTATTGCTAATAGATTTGAAATTAGATTGTTAATTATGAATAGATTTGAAACTATGGATATTTAGCAAGTGGTATCGTAAATTCCACAAATAGAAACATAAAGTAGAATAGTAGTAGAGAACATAAATGACAATATTAGTAATAAATTGATAATGTAGTTGTAACAATTACTGTAATAGAATAATAATTCTAAATAAATATGAATAGTATCATTGAGAATAAATATGTAGTGGTGAATAACCAGTAGATTTTCCACATCTTTTATCAATAACAACAAGTATGATTAATATGAGAAAAATTAATAACAAACCTATTTCAAAAGAATGGAAGGACGCTTCAACATTCTAGTGAAGGAAGATATGACATCTGTATGAAATGATCTCAATCATTATTCAATATACTTACTCTGAATTGATGGCTGCAATTTTACCATCTCTGGCACGTTTGACGATTGAGGTGTTTCCAATTCTCATGAATTAGGAGCTTGTTATTGATGAAATGTGTGTGATAACACTAACTACTAACCTGCTTGAATTTAACCAACCTGGAAATAATATCAACATTTCTTTCTGTCTCTGTGATGAATTAGAGACATTCAATAGATTAAGCTTGCGACTATTGTAGTCTCCGTTTCAAAGTGTTGGAAGCATCTTTGTACAAAGGCTTGTTTTCTTCTCCCCACATTTTTCAATATAATTCCTCAACCCTCATCATATCTTGATGTTGTTACTACTATCGGCATCTTCCATTGAAATGTCTAATCCCCCGATCTCTTCACTTCCATTTAATTCTTCATCACTCTCCTCCGAATCATCACTCTCCGAAAAAACAATCTTTTTCTTCTTGGTTATCCTCTCTTTCATACACAAGCATTCTTATTCTTCCACCATCTTTTCCTATTATCTTTATGTAGAACTGTGAAAGGTCTTCTGATTAAGACATTTTTTTAAAATACAAAAAATCAAATGGCGGGAAGTAAAAAAGCAAACAAAAAAATGTCCATACAAGAAGACCCTTTCTGAATCTATCTCAGCCTTCATCATCTTCTGAGAAGCTCTCAGCTACATCTAAAAAGACGTCATCTCAAAACAAAAACCACCAAGAATCAACAAGGTGAAAAAGAGGCTTCGAGTAAAGAACCTTTCAACCCAAAATTGTATTTCGAATTCAAGCTAATGTTTGTTGAGATGCTGAGAAAGGTGAGCAGGTAGCCTTCAAAGTTTATTGGAAAAGAGATTGTTACTGAAAAGTTAGATTGCAAGATGCAATTATTTGAACAATATTCTTGGAATACTGCTTGTCGTGGAGACATTTACTATAGAAAAACAATATCATTGGAAGAGTTGAAAAGAAAGGCCAAGCATGAGATGATGAAACCCCAAAAAGTGCTATGTACTAGTTCAGATTCAAATCCATCCAAGAGAAAGAAGTCTAATCATCAAGAATCTGATGGAGAAATTGAGGAAGATGGCAATGGAGAGCAGCTTAATGAGGAAGAAGATTCACAAAATTAATTCTAATAGTAAAAATTGTAATATAATAAAGAAGGTTAAATCATATATTCGAATCAATTGAATATACCCAAGTCAACCTTAATTGAACTGGAAAAAATTTTACAAGTCGGACTGCCTCCTTGTTAGCACCTTACTTTTACACCTAACTTTTCCAAAATTAAGGATGCAAGTTGAGGCTTAAAGTCGGTGGCTCACTTTTGATATCATCTTTTCAAAAGTGAGAGTAATATATGGAGGCTAAAATGTTTGGTGCTGACTTTCACTGCTCACTTTTAAAAACTCAGAGCATTTTAGTTTATTCGGGCAAGTTGAATGATGTTCTTCTCTCTTGATTTTCTTGGAAATGAGTAAACAATAAATTCACTAGCTCTAGGCGCCAAATCCTTAATTAAATAAGCACATGTCATCAGGGAGGATCAAAAAAGTCGAGATGAGCTTTGATTTTTTTTTTATGAATAGAAATACAACATATTTACAAATGTTTTGTTCCTTGTCTCAATACCTTACAATTACTGTTCCCACTTTTTTGATTCCACAAGACAAAATTCTGCCTTCATCATTCCAAAAAATAAAAATCTCCTTCAAACTTATATAAACTGTCACATTTAAATTATCCAAATTATGATACTAAGTATGCAATCAATATGGGTTGATTCAGAAAGAATGGTAACCTTCAATGGTTCTTCTACCATCTCTTACAGAATGTTAGTGTGGTGAATCTACTAGGCGTTTCCAAATACCACATAATAACAAAATATAATGTAAGTATACAACAAATATATCCAACACTGAAAGTTTGAATTATGGTAATATTAACATAGAGACGGAATTTAAAATGTAACACCGCTAGTAAAATGATATAGTATTGTATCATTGGAAACATCGGGTCACTAGTTTTTACAAAGCATATTTCGTATATTATACTGGAGTAGCATAAAAATACATTTATCATTTCTTAAGCGTCTGTTATATACATACGTATTCCCTTACCGAACATATCTTTCATTCTTGCGCAAATGTGTGGATCGCAAAGTAATAAAATTCAACATGTAATCGTCAAAGTTCGGTTGAATTATTAACATCTTAGATATAGGTAATAGAGGTCATCACTAAAATATCCCAATCTCTGCACTGTGGTCAGAACAGTGACCGCCACATTAATAATTGTGAAAATTGTAACAATATTCACAAAATAACTTTTTGAATTTACCAATCATCGCTAAATGTTTCCACAAATACAAGTAACAAACCAAACAATGATAGTCATGACTTGAATATCCACTGAAATTACGTAAACTGTAATTTGTTATTATACCACAAGAATGTTTAAGAAACACTTTTACTTTTGCCCCAATCAAGGTGTGTAGAATTATTTATTCACAGTTTGGTTTTGTGGAATATTTCTCTAAGTTTCTGAATTATAAACTAAATTTCCTTTCTTGTTAATACCTTTCAAATAAAGAACAAAAGTCAAGAAAATGAATCTAATATCACACTTTGTGAGATCTCAACTAATGAAGACTATTTTTGATCGTTGGCCAATGAGAAAGTTTGGAACCATGTTCCATATTTTAGAAAAGGAAAGACAGCTCATACTTATTCGAAAATTGAGTGTATTGTGGTCCAACATTACAAAATATCTGAAAAGGTTATTCAGCATGGTAGAGTTTAATGAAACTGCAATTATTTAGGCTCAACAGATCAGTGATATGACTAACAACTGTATTAAGATCCATCTTGGAGTATTTCATCTATTTCAACAATCTAGAACCAGTTGTCTTGAAGTTTACAATTTTATTAATTTACAATTCAATTTCATCATTGTTTTCTTCTTCAATTACTTTCATTTTTGGATGAAATATTGGAGATGATTCACATTCATTATTATCATCATCTTCTAAATATTCAAATGTCTGTTGAATGTTGTTGGTTCATCTTGTTGTGCTTTGATATCATCATTAATATCATTGGTAGAATTTCCAATTATATTTGAATCAACTAGTGTTGAAGAATCTATAAAATCATCAAAATTCAATCTTCTTCTCACTTGATAAATATTGTCATCATTTCTATTTTCATTTAAATTATCATTTAAATTATTATCATTTAAATTAAATGATGAAAAATGATGAATCTTTTTCTTTTTTCTTTTAATTAAAGTAGGTGATTCTAAATTATCACAATTTCTCAAATCAACATGTTTCAAAGATGAACATTTTAAAATTGGATTTTGTAAATGATGAGCACCTTGAAATGAAATGAATTGTAATGAATTAGATTGTATAGTTGGATTAATTAAATTATCACATGTATTAACAGATAATTCTCTAATGGATGGACATGTTTCTACTATTTTAGTTAAATTATCATCATCTATTTTAGTCCATCCTAAATTAACTCTCTTTAATGATTTTTTACTTAAATCAATTAATGAAAGAGATGAAATATTATAACAACCATGTAAATCTAAATCTTCTAATGAATAAGATGTAATTTTAGGATTATAAATTAATTTACATTTCTTTGCTGATAATTTTGTAATTGGTGGTGGTGTTTTTAATTCATTAAATCCTATAAATGGTTGTGGTAAATTAAATATTCTTTCAATTGATTTATCATTAATTTTAGTATAATTTAATGATAATTTATCAAGTGATGGACAATTATTAGATGGAATATTAACATCTTCTAAATATGAACAAAAATCAAATGATATACTTGTTAACATTTGACAATTACCAATTATAGGTTTAATTAAATTTTTACAATTTTCTAATTTTAATTCTTTTAATTGATCTAATTTTTGTTCATTGGTTAATGATTTAATAGAATCATCATTTATATTAGTATAACTTAAATCTAATTCTTCTAATTTAGGTAAAACATTACAAACTTGTTTAATTGGTAAATGAAATTGTTTAAAATTTTTACATCTTTGTAAATTAATTTTGTTTAAATTAATCATCTTTTTAGAAATTGAAATATTTGAAAAATCTAATAAATTAAATAAATTAATTGTTTTTAAAGTATTTGAATTTCTATCAATTAAATTACTAATAAATCTTTCATTAATACAAGGTGTACTTGTTATATTTAAATGTTCAAGTAAATAACAATCTAATTTAATACCACCTGAACATTCTTGAATTGATCTACAATCTCTAATTTCTAATCTTTTTAAATTTTTACAAACTTGCATTGGATATTCAATTTTAATAGAATATAATGATGAACAATGAATAATTGTTAATATTTCTAAATGTGTAAACTTTTCAAGAATTTTACAAAGTGTTTTAGAATCAAGTGCTTTACAAAATTCTAAACTTAATTCTGTAATTTTAGAAAATGGTGTTAATAATTTTATGAGTGGATTAATTTCTTCTTCTTCTTCAGGTTGATAATATAGATCATTGAGTGAAGATGGAACACTTGATGAATGTAATCTTGTTGTTGTATTAGTATTAGTATTAGACATGGAATTATTATTAGTTGTATTATTAGTATTATTATTAGTATTATTCAACTTGTTTAATCTTCTCATAGTTGACATTCTAGAAGCATAAGATAAATTTCTTAATGCTGGTTTGTTGTATGTTGATATTGGACTCATCAGCCACTTGTCATCTTCAGAGTAAGCAACTCTATTTACAGTATTATTATTATTACATGATGTTGTTGTTGTATTATTATCAATACCTAATAATTTTAGGCTTTTAATAGATTTATAAATTGGTGATTGTAATTGTTTAGATATTAAAATCAAGTTTAAAAGCTTTTCACTTGTTGGAAAGAATGAAAAGATTTCAATCCATAAATCTTCAGGTAAGCTAGAGAAGGAATTAATTGTTGAGGTCTTGTTAGTAGTAGTTGACCATTGATGATTCGTAGATACTTGTTGTTGATTCAAGTCTTCATCAAATTCGAATAGTTGGAACATAATGTTAAGCTTAATGTGTAAGAGAGAGTAATTGACAACTAATGTTGTTGTTTCTTTTTTTTTGTAGTAGTATAGATTAAAATTGTTGTGTGTGTAGAGAGTGTGTTGACAATGCTTTAGAATAAAATGTTGAAAGTGTTGTTGGTGTTGAAAATTGTAGTTTTTGGAGGGAAAATAGTTGTTGTATGGAGTGTGGTTAAAAATATTACAAAAGGAAGGTTATTGTATTAATATGGTACAATGGAATGTGTTGATAATTGACACAAATAGAGAATGGTAATATTCTGTATATTTACAATTATTATTAGCTTTCTTAGTTGTTACAAGATGATATCAATAGTTAGATCTAGATTATTTACAAAATATATTACAAGATGAAAGAGATGCTGATGAGTTTCCAATATAAATTAATTGTGTGTGATTACAACAAGGTCAGTAAATTAACGTCTTTTTTTTGATTTTGATTCTGCTAATGTGTAACGGTCGTGACAGTTTGAATTTCTAACTGACAAAAATAGATTAGTTTTCTTATGAATATTAATTGGATCTTGTTGAATTTCCATACAACCGTTACAAATCATTTTGATTTTTTAATATTCTCCAAATTTTTCATATTTTAAACTCCGAATCAACAAGTTATGCTTGTTATAATATGCATATGCTGTCTCCTTTTCATCATAATACGTCTTAATTAAATATTTAAATTCTCGACAAAGCATTTAACTGTTGTACAATATGATCATCTTTTCACAATTAATACATTAATAAATATAATTCTAATTATTCATGCTATTCATAATGAAACCCTCTTCAAATTACAAATGATGAGAGAATGATGATGATTTACAGTGAAAGTTCCTCGCACACTTTAATTTTACAACTTGTTGGATCCTTCCATTGAAGAGAGAAGCGAAATTTTCCAACGTTCATATTTATTGAAAAGAAAGAGCAACAACACAATAACACCTCCTGCTCTCTTTGTATTATCTATTTTACATCATTATTATCCTCTTCAATAGAGTGTGTTGAGAGTACCAATATAACTGTTTTTGTATTGATACATTCCTAATTCATGATCTTGTAATAATTCATTCGGATCATCTAATTTTAACTAGTTGAAAAAGCTCTCCTTTTCATCATCAAGCCTTCATACTATTATTATACAAACACACTAACTTAACAACAAACAATAACATAACAATTAAATACAATTAAATACAATTAAATATAATTAAATTAAATATATAAAAAAATGGATAATCCAATATATATAAAATTATTACAATTTAATAAAGTGATGGATACATTATCAGGTAGAGATAAAGTAACAAAAGCACTTCAATATGGAGCTAAAATAATATCCTATTCACTTGATTTAAAAAAACAATCAATTTTATCAAATTTAAATTCATCAAATATTTCAAATTTATTAGAAAATGAATTACTTGATTTGGATAAACAAAAAATATTTTATACAAGATCTTTAAAAAGAGTTTCAAATTTTGAATCTTCTATCTCAGATGCTAGAAAAGTATTTAGATTTGCAAAATCAATTGGAAGTTTATTAGATGTTTATAAATTTATTATTAATTTATATAAATTTTATTTAAAAAAATATTTATTTAAAAATAATTTAAATAATAATAATAATTTAAATGAATTAAATAATTTAAATAATTTAAATGAATTTAAAGTTAAATGGATTGATTTTATAAGAATATTACAAAAATTCTTATTATCTATATATATATTATATGATCATGCTAGTTGGGCAGCTAAAGTTCAATTATTTTCAGATGTTAATGAATTAAATGCTTCACATTTATATCAAAAATTATTTAATAATTCACGTGCTAAAAATTATTCTGAAACTTCATGTAAAATGTGGTTTATTGGAACTTTATTAACTTTAATTTCTGATTTTTATGATTATTTTGATATTTTTAATCAGGAAATTTCCATTTTAAGAGAAAAGAGTAATTCCATTTCACAATTAAATGAAGGTTTTATAAATTTAAATGATTTTATTGATCATGATAAAAAAACAAGTGCTGAAATTGCAATACCTTCAAATAATAATTTAAATAATAATAATTCAACAATAACAAGAATTTCACAAATTGATGAACGTTTAAAAAAAGTTCAAGATAAAAAAGTTCAAATTACAAGAAATTTAATGAAAAATACAGCTGATTTAATGGTTGCAGGTAATGGTGGATATAAAGTATGGTCATTGAATAATGGTATTATTGGTTTATGTGGTTGTATTAGTTCTTTTATTGGTTTATATGAAAGTTGGCCATCAAATGTTGTTAAATAATAATTAAAATTTAATATAAAATTAATAATAAAATATTAAAATTAAAATAAAATTAAAATTATTTTCTATTAATTTTTTGAGCAATTTCTAAAACTTGTTTAAATCTTCTATAAACAGGCATATCAACCATTCTACCTTCAACTTGACAACTTCCACGATTATTTTCCTGAGCAGCTTTTTCATAAGCATCAACAATTAATTTTGCTTCTTTAATTTCCATTTCTGATGGACCAAATATTTCATTTAAAATTGGAATTTGATTTGGATGAATTGCGAATTTACCTTTCATTCCAATATTTCTAACTTCAATAGATTCTTCTTTTAATCCTTCCATATTTTTAAAATTAACATTTGGTGTATCAAATGATGGTATATTAGCTGCTCTAGCTGCTACCTATTAATAATATAAATTAAATTACAATAATATATATTAAATTAAAATTAAATATTAATAATATTATTAAATATATTAATAAAATAAATATATTAATAAAATAAATTAAATATAAAAAAAAACATACAGCAATTGTAGATCTAACATAAAATAATTCCTTTTCAATAGATTGAGAAGTATTTCTAGTAAAACCCAAATCATGAGCATAATCATCAGCACCAAAAGCAACACCAATAATTCTATTTGGTAAACAACTACATATTTGGTAAGCATGTACTAATCCAATTGCAGATTCAATAGATGGTATAATTTTAAAAGTATATTGTTGTACTTTTAAATTATCTTCAATTCTAGTTAAAATTTCATCAATTTTAAAAATATCTGCAATTGAACTTGTTTTTCCAATATTAATTGCATGTACTATATTTGGTATACAAATAGATTCACAATCAATTTCTAAAAATTCATCTTCACTATTAACACGTGGTATTATTTTCATATTATTAGCATTATTATCTTGAGTATTAAAAGATAATAAAAATTCTCTAACCATCTTTCTAGCCTTTTCCTTTTCATGGTATGGAACTGAATCTTCTAAATCTGGAACAAATACATCTGGTTTAATAGAGAGTGAATGAATTTTAGATAACATTTTTTCACTATTACCTGGAATGTATAATAAACTTCTCATAATTGGAATGTTATGTTGTTGTTGATGATCAATTGTTGTATTATTTAATGTTATTGTATTGGTTGTAGAAAAAAGTCTTCTTGATGTATTGTTATTATTAATGATGATACTATTCATAATTGATGAAGGCTTGTTGTTAATAATAGCCTTCGGAAAGGCTTGTTGAAAAAGAGGCTTGAACATTTTTTTGATTACATAATAATATTTGTGTAATGAACATAAATGGACTTCTACTTGATCAACTTTAGGTGTGCGTTCATGAGTTGTAAATTAAATGCTTAATGGAATGTGTACTTAGAACTATTCTCATCAATCACAAATATATAATAAATAATAAAAAAAAAATGTCATCATCATCAATATCGGAATTAAATTCATCATTTCTCAATTTACCATTAGAAATACTATCAGAAATTGCAAAATATTTAAAAGTAAAAGAATATCATGAAACAATGTTACTTTGTAAACAATTATTTAAAATACTTTCAAGTGATTTGTGTTATTCTTATTTATTTAAAAAGGAAATTAATTTATTAACAAAAGTTTATTATTTTAATAATGTTGATTTTCCAATATGGAAAATCCAATTACTTCTCATATAGAAATTATATATTCTAAATATAAAGATATAAATTCTAATTATAGAATTCATTATTAGAATTAAAAA